TGCTGGATAAAGTAATCTTGGTTGTAGGTTCTTGGTATTCATCACTTTGAATATTTCTTGCCATTCCCTTCTGGCCTGCAAAGTTTCTGTTGAGAAATCAGCTGCGAGTCGTATGGGTACTCCCTTGTAGGTAACTGAGTTTCTTTTTCTTGCTGCTCTTAAGAGTCTCTCTTTGTCTTTTGCTCTTGGCATTTTAATTATGATGTGTCTTGGTGTAGTCCTCTTTGGATTCCTTTTGTTTGGGGTTCTCCGTGCTTTCTGGACTTGTAAGTCTATTTCTTTCACCAGGTAGGGGAAGTTTTCTGTCATTATTTCTTCAAATAGGTTTTCAATATCTTGCTCTCTCTCATCTTCTGGCACCCCTATAATTCTGATGTTTGTACGCTTGAAGCTGTCCCAGAGGCTCCTTACACTATCTTCGTATTTTTGGATTCTTTTTTCATTTTGCTTTTCCGGTTGGGTGTTTTTAGCTTCTTCGCATTTCAAATCTTTGCCTTGATTCTTGTGGCCCTCTGGTCTGCTGTTGGGAGTCTGTATAATATTCATTATTTCAGTCCGTGTATGTTTAATTTCTAGTTGGTTCTTTATCATAACATCGAGGGTCTCATTGGATTTGTTGAGGATCTCAATAACTTTATCGGCGGCTTCTAGACAGTTCTTGAGAGACCTTAAAAGTGTGGTTCTGAACTCAGTATCCTCCATTGACAGTTTTGTCCCGTTTCTTTGTCTCCGCATTTTTTATGCTTTCTTGGTGCACCCCCTAGTTGTCTTTGTGTGCAGTCCTCCTGTAGTTAAGCCTTGATTGTTGTAGTTAATACTAGGGGGATTTGACCTCCAGGCCAGCTGGCTGTGAGAATCAGCTGTGTCTGCAGTGGGAAAACTTCTGTCCCCTAGGGAGGTGCTAATCTAGCCTTTGCCTGTGGCTATCTGGCAAATGGCTCTGCGAAGGGCTTGGGCGGGGTGGTTGGTCGCTCGGGCTCGGGATCAACAGGGTGGGCCGGAGAGAGCATTTATGGCGGCTCTCAGTTCCGTCCCTAGGGGCTCTGCCTCACAGAGTCCCAGCAACTGCTGCAAACCTCGGAGAGAAAGCTGCCTTCAAGTTCCGACTGAAGCCAGACAGTCCCGCTTCTCCCGTTTGAGTCTGGGTCCCTAGAGACTCGCCCAGATCTGTAGCTCAGAATCTGAGACTCCCTCCCGATTGAAAGCACCAACCACGCCCTCCGCCGCCAGCCCGCTCCGTGCGCACTCCGTACCTGAGTATTTCACTTCAGCACTGTGCTTCCTCTGAGTCTGGGTATGATATCCTCTTTCCTCCTAGTTGTAGAATTTCCACTCAGCCAGCCTTCCTGTGGTTCTGGATGATGTCCGTTCCGTCTTTTAGGTGTATTTTGATTTGGTTGTTCAAGGCAGCAATCTCCGGCGTTAACCTATGCCGCCATCTTGGTTCTCCTGAGACAATTCTTTTCATACTTCTTTGGTTATACCCGCCTGCCATGGTGGGGAATGGTGGCCCACCAGCATGTTTTACATAACTTATCTAAAACATTGATAATTATAGTTCCACAAAACTGCTACTTTGCTTGCTAATCTGCAAAAACCTTTAGAATCTCTATCTAAAGTTGTCATAGAAAATAAAATTGCCATCCAGCCAGGGCTATTATTTCTTTATTTGACAAAGCTGCCTACATACTTTAAACATATCAAATAGGCCTAATTAGTTTAAACTTTCTTTTTTAGAAAGGAGAGAACAAATCCGTGAGATATTCCAGGAGCCCATTGTAATGATTCAAAGCCAATTCTAAGTCAAGAAAAAATCTCTTAAAATTTAAAACCCAGGCCCTTGCTGGCTTGGCTCAGTGGATAAAGCATAGGACTGAAGGGTTCCGGGTTCAATTCCAGTAAACGGCACATGCCTGAATTGTGGTCTTGATCCCCAGTAGGGGACCTGCGGGAGGCAGCCGATCAATGATTCTCTCTCATTATTGATGTTTCTATCGCTCTCTCCCCTCTCCCTACCTCTTAAATCAATAAAAAAAATATTTTTAAAAAATTTAAGACCCAGGAAGGTTGTGAAACATACTTGGCAAAAAGATTGTATGTCATTATGAAACAAATTATTTACCCAAGTAACAACAATAGGAATCACACACAAACACAGGCTAGCAAAACTTGACTTCTTAGGATTAAAGAGAGAGGTTTTTAAGAAATCAAGTACCTGATTAACACAATATGACATATGATTATTTAATGATATCTAGAATCTTTGCTGTCTAGGCAGATATAGGAAAAACTTTTTCCCTTTTAACAGACTGAAAAAGAACAAAACAAATTCTATATTAGCTTACTTTTGATAGATTCATTTACCTAATTAAATTCATTACCTATATATTTCCCTCAAGATCTTTCTTGAAAGCTTGTTTGGAGGTTCTAGCAGGGGAGCGCAGCTACTCGTATACCCTTGACCGAAGACCGGTCCTCTCCTCAGGGGGAAGGTCGTGCAGCTTCGGGAGGGATCCACATGGATCGGTGAGGGAGGAGGGGGACACCCGCCTAGCCAGCCAGATCAGCCGAATCAACCCTGGCGATCAATGGGGTGACAGATGTCGCAGCCAGATCGCCCTCACATCCAAGATCTTTCTTAACAAACCTTCTTATCCATTCAGAAACAACCAGCTTTAGAGCAATAAATATTTCATATTTTATATCTTCTACCAAACCATATAATTTCTTTCCACTTTAATTATAATTGTTAACTCAGAAACCTTGATCTTTCTTAATGACAACTAAAAGCAATCAATTAACATTCTTTAGATTGATATTTTATGAATACGTTCCATAATTTCTGGAAAGAGGCAAAACACACTCAGATTTTCAAGAGACATATTTCAAATAAAATGTAAGATATATGAACAGATCTAAATCTGCCCTCTAGCTTCTCTGCAACAAGAAGCTTCATCTACTCTACTGTTGATTCCTTATGTATTCTGCATTTCTGACTGCGGTCTATCTCCACTTTTGTTTTCTATCTCTTCGTTGAAATTCTCACTTAAGTATACCTACTCTTCCTCTATGTTCATTGAGCATTTTTATGACCAATGTTTTGAATACTGCATGTGGTAGATTGCTTGCCTCCATTTCGTTGAGTTCTTTTTCTGGAATTTTGTCTATTCTTTCATTTGGGACATGTTTCTTTCTCTCCTCATTTTGGCTGCCTCCCTGTGTTTGTTTTTATGTCTCCCGATCTTGGTGGAGTGGGCTTATGTAGTGGGTATCCTGTAGATCCCAGTGAAACAGTCTCCCCAGTTACCTGAGCTGGGCACTCCAGATGTTCCCTTATTTGGGCTGTGTGCACCCTGGTGGTATAGTCTAGCCTCAGTTGGGGTTGGCATGTCAATGGGAGGATTTACCCTCAGGCCAATTGGCTAAAATATCTGGCCTCAACCACAGACTGCCCCTTGAGTATGTCGCTCATGGAAGTGGTTGCATGGTGCTCTGGCATAGTCTAAAGCTGGCCACCAAAAAAATAAAATAAAAATAAATTAAAAATAATAAAGCTGGCCACCAAGTGCGCTGTCTCTGTGGCCTCATTGGAAGTGCAGGCTAAGATCAGCTGCCATCTGTACCCTGCCCAAGGCCACTCGGTATGAACTACAAAGTGATCTGCAGATGTCTGCTATTGTGCTGGGCTTGGAGGTGCCTAGGAGAGGCCACGATGCAATCTGGTGGTCTACCGCTAGTGTCAGGTCTGGGACCACTTAGCAAGAGGTATGGGGCACGTTGAGGCCAGATGCTTTGGTGGTAGTGGGGAGGGGGGGGGCGGGGGGGGGGGAGGAGTGTTGTGAATCTTTGAAAGATTTTAGGAAAGTCTGTAGCATGATCCAAGACAGGCTTTTGTGTGGAAAATTCACTGGAAACAGTTTGGCTGGACCTGCAAGATGAGTGGGGCAATGTTTCAGAGAGTCACCAGGGCAGTTTATCCAGGTTGATGGAGACTCAGGTATGGCCACCTACAGGCTCTATGGGGAAAGGTTCAGCAAAGAACAATGGCTTCTTCCAGCATTTCTGTCTTGGAAAAAGCTGCTCCTCTAGCTCTTGCCTTAAATCCAGACAATTCAGTTCTTCCCTCCTGGTGTCTTTTTAAAAATATATATATTTTATTGAGTTTTTACAGAAAGGAAGGGAGAGAGAGTTAGAAACATCGATTAGCTGCCTCCTGCACACCTCCTATTGGGGATGTGCCCGCAACCAAGGTACATGCCCTTGACTGGAATCGAACCTGGGATCTTTCAGTCCGCAGGCTGATGCTCCATCCACCGAGCCAAACCGGTCAGGGCCCTGGTGTCTTTTGAGCTGCTGACTCAGCAGTGGAACTCAGATCAAGTGAGTCTGAGTAAGTGCATGCACAGGACCTTTAGGAGGAATACTTAGGACTCCAGCAGCCCTGTCTCACTCAGCCTCCATCCCCACTGGCTTTCACAGTCAGATGTTATGGGAACTTCTTTTCCCAGCGCTGGGAGCTCTTGCTCCTCAGGGGGGGACTTCTGTAGCTGAGATAGCCCTCCTAATTTTTAACCACCACACAAGGGTGAGAGAACAGCTCATTGCGTATTTCCACCCCTTATCAGTCTTCTTTTTTATATTCTTAGTTATAGGAATTTTGTTCAGCCAAATTTTAGGTGATTCTCAATGATGGTTGTTCTATAGTATAGTTGTAATTTTGATGTGCTTGTGGGAGAATGCAAGTACAGCATTTACCTACTTCACCATCTTGACTGGAAGCCCTCAGGGTGGAAGTCTTAAAAATTATAATATTTGTTTTATTTGAATAGCATTTGTCATTTCTCATCATGCTCTGACCCCTGCCATTAGAGAAAAATAAGATGTAATGTGGTCACTGTAAAGTATTAATTTTCATGTGTTTATGATAAGGTTAAATTTATACAGAAGTAAATGTGAACACAATGTTTTGCTGATAAACGTCATAGACTAAATATATGGAGAAAACAGAATTAGATGTACCTTCCTGTAAATGAAGTCTGGGTGTCCAGTGCTGTCAGTCTCATGTACTGTGCACATATTTGTACTGTTTTAGGACTCAGTAACCTTTGAGGATGTGGCTGTGAACTTCACTCTGGAGGAGTGGGCTTTAATGGATACTCCACAGAAGAAGCTCTACAGAGATGTGATGTGGGAAACCTTCAGGAACCTGGCCTCCGTAGGTATGGATGACAACTTTCTTCACCTTGTTAATTAGAGGACAAGTGTTTCTTGCCATCAAAGTTGTTCTAATGTGTATAGTGTGGGAAGGGAGGACACTGATAAATAAACCGGGCGTGGTCACAGCTCATCATAGAAATAGAATCTAATGTTTCTGTAATTTCTACTACTTTTGGAATAAATTTTCTGGGTCTGTATTTTAGGAAAGAATTGGAAAAACCATGACATTGAAGATCTGTACAGAAACCAGAGGAGAAAACGAACGTGAGTCACACTCAATAGAAAACACTGTTTTACATGAGAAACCTGTTATGCTATGAAATTTTAAAAAGAAAGAAACAAACAAAAAACCCTGCTTCAAATTTGACCTCTCAGAAAATTTCCACCAAATTACTTTCTTATATATGACAAAGGCATTCAGTATTTGAAAACTAGTTCAAATGAAGAACAGCGTTAATAAACCCTGTATATGAATGTCACTGTTTGATAATAGCAAGGCTGAAGTCTTCTTGCACAGCATCCCGTTTATTCAATTTAAGCCATTTAAATAAGGCAGAAAACCTACTTTTTTGCTATAAATCATAGAAATATGGTTCAAATATTCTAATAAATATAAAATCATAAGTAAATCATGAAGAATATGCTTCTTCTTTTTTCCAGAAGTCCTGTGGTAGAGAGAATCTGTGATGGGAAAGTGGGTCGTCAGTTTGAAGACAACTTCATCCCTATTTCAGATCTCAATCTGAATGAGAAATCGCTTGGAGTAAAGCCATGTAAATACAGTGTGTGTGGGAAATCCTCCATACAACATTCGTCTCCTAATGGGAACGTCAGATGTCACACTGAACATAAGCCATGTAACTATCAGAAGTATGGAGAGAAGCCATATAAACGTTATCTCCAGTGTATTAAAAAACATGAAAGGAATCACAATGGAGAGAAACCTTTTGAACATAATGTATGTGGTGAAGCCTTCAGTCCCAGCTATGTTGAAGTAGATGAAAAAACTCATACTGGGGAAAAACTTTTTAAATATAAGGAATGCAGGGTAGCATTTAGTGATCTCTCAATTCTTCCAGCACACGTGACCATTCACACTGGAGATGAACTTTATAAATGTAAGGACAATGAGAAAGCATCCATTTCTCGCAGTTTATATCAAATACCTGGAAGGAGTCACACTGGAGAGAAACCCTATGAATGTAAGCAATGTGGTAAAGCCTACAGAGATCACAGTTCCTTCAAAACACACGAAAGAAGTCACTCTGGAGAGAAACCCTATGAATGTAAGCAATGTGGTAAAGCCTACAGAGATCGCAGTTCCTTCAAAACACACGAAAGAAGTCACTCTGGAGAGAAACCCTATGAATGTAAGCAATGTGGTAAAGCCTACAGAGATCACAGTTCCTTCAAAACACACGAAAGAAGTCACTCTGGAGAGAAACCCTATGAATGTAAAACATGTAGGAAAGCATTCGCTTGTCTCAGTTACCTTCGAAAACATGAAAAGATGCACACAGGAGAGAAACCCTATGAATGTAAGCAATGTGGCAAAGCCTTCAAATATTGCAGTTCCTTACAGTCTCACAAAATGAGTCACACAGGAGAGAAACGCTATGAATGTATGGGATGTGGTAAAGCTTACAGTGGTTCCACTGCCTTAAAAACACACCAAAGAATTCACACAGAAGAGAAACCCTATAAATGTAAGGACTGTGGATCAGCCTTTAGATATTACAGTTCTTTACAAATACATGAAAGATCTCACACTGGAGAGAAACCCTATGAATGTAAAACATGTGGAAAAGAGTTCAATTATCTTAATAATCTTCGAAGACATGAAAGAGTTCACACAGGAGAGAAACTCTATAAATGTAAGCAATGTGGTAAATGTTACAGCGATCACACTTCCTTCAAAACACATGAAAGAAATCACATGGGAGAAAAGCCCTATGAATGTAAAACATGTAGTAGAGCGTTCGGTAGTCCCAATTATCTTCGAAAACATAAAAGGAATCACACTGAAGAGAAACCTTATGAATATAGATGGCATAGTAAAGCCAGATATTACACTACCTTAGAGTCACATGAGTGAATTTACATAGCAGAGAAACACTATGACTGTAAGCAATGTGGTAAAGGTTATAACAACCACACTTCCTTAAAAACACACAAAAGGAGTCACATTGGAGAGGAACCCTATGAATGTAAAACATGTGGAAAAGAGGTCACTTGTCTTAATTATCTTTGAAGACATGAAAGGACTCACACATGAGAGAAACCCTATGAATGTAAGCAATGTGGTAAAGGTTATAGTGATCACACTTCCTTAAAAACACACAAAAGAAGTTACACTAGAGAGAAACATTATGAATGTAAAACGTGGAAGAGTTCAGTTGTCTTAATTATCTTAGAAAGCATGAAAGGACGCACACAGAAAAACCCTATGAATGTAAGCAATGTGGCAATGGTTACAGCGATTTCACATCTTTAAAAACACACAAAAGTAGTCACACTGGAGAGGAAATTTATGAATGTAAAATATTTAGAAAAGTGTTCAGTTGTCTCAGTTATTTTCAAAAACATGAAAGGACTCACAGGAGAGGCACACCATGAATGTAAGCAATGAGTTAAAGCTTTCCATTCTCTACAAGGTTTTCAAAGACATGAAAGAAATCACACTAGAGAGAAACTAAATGTAAAAAACGTGGGAAAGCTTCCATTTTGCACACAAACTATTGAACAGAAGTGAGCATGCACTGTTCTAGCCCATCCTAATTTTTTTTTCTATGAGCCAAGTGGTATCTATACAAGCCCAATGTTTTTCCCCAATGGAAACACCAAAAAGGAAAGGGAATGCATCTGTGAAGGCAGCCATCCAAGTATTAATTTGATTGTATTAAGTGACCTGTAGGGAGAGGGTATCACTTTGAGTAATGATCATAATTTAGTATAAAAGGAGATATGGACCCAGCTGGTATGGCTTAGTGGTTGAGCATTGACCCATGCAACGAGGTTGCCAGTTTGATTCTCAGAGCACATACTCAGGTTGTGAGTACGATCCACAGTGGGGAGCATGCAGGAGGCAGCCAATCAACGTTGAAGTTTCTGTCTCATTGATGTTTCTATCCCTCTCCCAGTCTAAAAATCAATAAATTTTAAATAATAGATATATAAGGAAATGTGGGAAATTTTCAGATACACTATATCTGAATGTGGGGAAGACTTAAGTCATCCCAGTTCCTTCCAAGAGCATGAAAGGAATCACTGGATAAAACCTTTGAACATAAGCAGTGTGAGAAGGGCTTTAGTATACACACATCCTTACATGTGAAAAGTCTCAGGGAAAAGAGATAAAACTACATGTGACATGAGAAAGCTTGATGGAAATTAATCCATGTAAAATGTTCCAGAAAACTTTCAACATGAAAGAATTCATCTTAAGTTTGTATATACATAGTGTTTATCAAGCTTGTTTTGTAAAATGCACCATTGCAATATAGATTTATAACTTAAGAAATAAATATTGAGGTGAGATAACTGGGAGTTTTCTTTCAGCAATAGTACATAAAATTACTAGATAACACTTTTTCCTTAAATGAATTAATATTTTCTTTCCATTTTGAAGCCTGTTAGATCCCTGGGTGAACTGAAGTGTATTTCTAATGTGCAATTAGATTAAATTTTTATACTGTTTTATTTTTCCTGTGTGAAGGTACCATTGTAAAATGACAGTTTGGTATTTGTTGGAATTTTCCTATTGGCTTTGTACAGTTCTGGGTATCCTTAGTCCACTAATATAGTCTACCTTTTTTTTTTTTTTTTTTTTTTTTTTTTTTTTTTTACTGAAGAAGCTCTTTTTCTGGAGTGACAGGAGTAAAATATTGAACACTTGGAATAACTTTTATGTATGGCAAGTTTATGAAAGAATATAGTTTCATATAAATTAATATTTTTACATTTGGGTCCTTATTGTTCTTTATTCTGACTGGTTATTTGTTGAATAGACTTTAATTTAAGAAAAGACATAAAAAGAAGAAGAGAGACCTGTAGAATGAAAAAAAATCTAGAGTTGGAGATATTCACTCCGCTGTCAGTAATGTTAGGACCTAGATTTTTTAGAATTCATCTCTTTTATGGTTCCATCTTAGGATTCACAAGTAGCCCCACTTGCATGAGACTGAAAAGGAGAAATGAGTAACACATCAGATTTTGAAACCACCACACAGGGAAGAGACAGTTGTATCAGACTTTTGAGTCTTTGCCCTTCCAGTTAAGACTATCCTCATAACCACCACCAGTTATTTGACTTATACTTTCTTAGAGGTGTAGGTTTCCACTGATGTTTTCTCAAGATTCACATCAAAGATCCATTAATTTGGATTTTTCTGTAAGCCATCATGTGTCCATCTGGAAACTTATGTCTGAATCCCCTCTTCTCTAGATTACATCCATATAAGATGTAATTTGTATAGGAAATACGCTGTTAACAGTGCTAGGATGTGTTCTTTATTGACCATGACATCTACAATGTTGCAGCCAAAAAGGACCCAGGAGTTTGTTTCTCTGCTGCCTGTGCAGTGGCTGCCTTCACCTGGTCCTTCCGTGTGAGATCCGCCTCTTCCTCCTGTCAGGAAGACTGGGTGTTTCCTGTTACTTAGAGCTGAGTGAGTCCCTCAGTATGTTTCCAGTTATGTTTGATTGTATGTGATTAAAAGTCTGTGCCTGGCCAATGTGGCTCAGTGGTTGAGCGTCAGCCTATGAACCAGGAAGACACATGCCTGGGTTGTGGGCTCGACCCCCAGTAGGGGGTGTGCAGGAGGCAGCCCATCAGTGATTCTCATCATTGATGTTTCTATCTCTTCCTCTCCCTCTCTGAAATCAATAATTTTTCTAAAAATTTTAAGTATGTGCATTTTTTGTCAAAATAGCACTTTTGTAGTTTTATAGGAATATTTTATTAACCATTTTCTAAACTGTTGTATGTCACCAAACAATTGTTCTTAATTTCCTGAGGGAATACATGAAAATGTCTCCTTATAATTATGAATATCTAAATAAACTGCAAATCTCTTCTTTAATGATTGTACTTTGAGTCAAATTTATCATGTGCATTCAAGTTCAGGTAATTTTTCCTCAGACATATTTTACTTTAAATTCTTTTATAGTTACAATTTTGTCATGAAAGTCTCATTGATTTTTTAAAAATATTTTTAAAATTGATTTCAGAGAGGAAGGGAAAGGGAAAGAGAGAAACAATGATGAGAGAGAATCATTGATTGACTGCCTCCTGCACACCCCACACTAGGAATCGAGCCCACAATCTGGGCACGTGCCCTGACAGGGAATCGAACAATGACCACTGAGCCACGCTGGCTGGGCTTAACTTACATTTTATTTTATTTTTTATTTTTAAAAAAACTTTATTGTTGCCGAAACCGGTTTGGCTCAGTGGATAGAGCATTGGCCTGCAGACTGAAGGGTCCCATGTTCGATTCCAGTCAAGGGCATGTACCTGGGTTGCGGGCACATCCCCAGTAGGAGATGTACAGGAGGCAGCTGATCGATGTTTCTCTCTCATCGATGTTTCTAACTATCTCCCTTCCTCTCTGTAAAAAATCAATAAAAATATATATATTAAAAAAATCTTTATTGTTGAAAGTATTACATAGGCCCTCCATTTACCCCCATTAACCTCTTCCAGCCCACTCCTGTCCTCACCTCCCCATTGTCTGTGTCCATGGGTTATGCATATATGCATACAAGTTCATTGGTTGATCTCTTCCCACCCACTCTCCCCTGCCTTCCCTCTGGGGGTCAGTAGTCTGTTCATGCTTCTATGACTCGACTCTGGGTCTATTTTTGATCACCAGTTTGTTTGGTTCATTAGATTCCACATATGAGGGGGAGGCCTGGTGGTATGGGGAAGTTGAACCTTAGTTCTGATAAAACAGCCTGTCTTCCACTTACTGGTTTCAGCATAGGAGAAGAGCAGGAAAATTCCTAGGCCAGGAAGCTTCATTTTATGGCTTTTTTTTTTGGTCCCCCAGACTGTAGGGTCACTTGAATGAGGCAAAGGGCCCCTACTATTAGTGGAAAAGAGACACTCCTTCAGCACAAGTTTTCACTGGTGTGATGGTGCTGTTGGACATGCTTTTTTCTTCCATGTGTTACGCCGGGAAACCTATTACCAGGGTGGCTGATGCTGTAGTCAGGGCCCTCAAGGGCCTGTGACAGACCCTCAGGATTGTCACAGGATCATCAGTCCGAGGCCAGGTCATGAGGGTGTCATAGCCAAACTCCTTCTGCACACCCAAAGGGTATTTGTTCCACATCTGTGGTCTGCTGTTGCCTCCTTCCTCTTCACTGAGGCTGTTGTATTCATCAGAGCCTCTGGAATCTTCATCTCCGTCACTGCTCGCCTCCTCGGGGTACTCATGGCGCCAGTTATTCTCACTATACCCATCATCTTCATCTTCATAAATGTCCTGCAGTTGTTTATGCATTCATTGGTTGATTCTTGTATGTGCCCTAACAGGGGATCGAACCTGCAACCTTGGTATATAAGGAAGACACTCTAACAAACTGCTACTTGGCCAGGGTACATTTGTATTTATTTTATTTTTATTTTGAAATATATCTTTATTGCCCTAGCCCAGTGATGGCGAACCTATGACACGCATGTCAGAGGTGACACGCGAACTCATTTTTTAGTTGATTTTTCTTTGTTAAATGGCATTTAAATATATAAAATAAATATCAAAAATATAAGTCTTTGTTTTACTATGGTTGCAAATATCAAAAAATTTCTATATGTGACACGGCACCAGAGTTAAGTTAGGGTTTTTCAAAATGCTGACACGCCGAGCTCAAAAGGTTCGCCATCACTGCAGCCCGTTTGCCTCAGTGGATGGAATGTCCGCCTGCGGACTGAAGGGTCCCAGGTTTGATTCTGGTCAAGGGCACATGCCTGGATTGTGGGTTGCAGCTCAATCCCCAGTAGGGGGCGTGCAGGAGGCAGCCGATCCATGATTCTCGCTCATCATTGATGTTTCTATCTCTCTCTCCTTCTCCCTTCCTCTCTGAAATCAATAAAAATATATAAAATATTGAGCCCGAAACCTGAGCATGTGCCCCGACCGGGAATCGAACCTTGACCTCCTGGTTCATAGGTCGATGCTCAACCACTAAGCCATGCTGGCCAGGCCATTTATATTTAAAGAGAATCTTTTTCTGGCCTGGAGGTGACACCTTCCTTCTCCTGCAGTTTCTTTGTGAACTCAAGGGCACCAGTGCACACAGGAAATTTCCGATTCTGTCTCAAGATGGAGCAAGTACAGCTATGAGGCTGGGCAAGGCCAGATCACCCTGACAATGGTCCTGGAGGCAATGGAAAGAAATGATGCTGATGCACATGACGGAGGATGTCCCCAGGCAGAACCCACTTGGGATGTTCTTTTATGTTTCAGAACCACAGTCCAGAGATCTGTCCAATGAGACTGGGTGTTTATTTTCCATACTTCCAAATCTTTAAAATAAATACTGAGATTGTTATCTACGGTAGCTCATGCTTTCCCCACAAGATAGAAGAATGTGGTTGATTCTCTCACTACTACCTCAAACGTTATGGTACTATTTCAGTCAGACCATGAAGAAAAAAGTAGTTTTAAGTACAAACACATATATTGATGTCCTGCCACTTAAAGGTACTTCATGCTTTAGAACGCAAAAAGAATGAATTTCCTCCTAATATTTTCTCAGAGCCAAGAGCACTTTCTAGAACTTTAGATAATTTATTCCATTAGCATCATTTTCCAAGGTCATGAGAAAAATCTTTCTCTCTCCATGTGTACAAAAGACTCCCTGAGCTCCACTGGAGCTCATTGGCTGAGAAGACCATCTTGTAGGATGCCTTGAGTTCTCGAGGGTTTGCCGTGTTGCAGGTGGATATACGGACACTCTAAGCATATTCTGGCCTTTGTGTTTGCCATGATGAAGATCACAAGAAACACATGCTTTTTCCAAGATAGCATGTCTACAATGATGACCACAGTGATTAAAGGACCTTTGACAAGCAGAACAATTCGTGGCACTCAGTGCAAGGAGCACTGCAGCATTTTCTGCCCAGATGGGGCCACAGCTGGAACTGTACAATTCCCACAGGTGCAAATAAGAGTAAGGTGTGGAAGGGCAGGGATGCAATGTAATTTCTGCAGCAGCAGGTTCCTGAAGTTCAACCGTGTGAGAGAAGAGACCAAACGTGTATCTTCCCCAGTGAACATGCATTCTTAGTAGGAGGTCATTTATTTGAGGCTGAGATGAGAGCAAAAACAAAACAAAAAAAGCCAGAGGTATTCCAGAGTAGAAAATCAGAATGATTTCTAGAAAAACTGCTTGGAGACTATTGTTTTTTGAGATAGCTGTGAAAAGGAAGATGAAAAAAAAAGATGATGAAATGTAAATATATTCTCCATCTCAGTTCCTCATGGTGAATGCCCACAGACCTTTCTTGCTGCTGTGTATGGTGACTGATGCTGCTCCTCCCCGTGTGGGCCTCCTGGTAAGCCGAGTCCTGGGTGAAACGTGTGCCCTCCTTTCCTCTCTCCATTGAGGTCACCTGTGGTTCTGTGGTTCTGCCCTCAGGCTGCCTGTGTCAGGTGGCCTCCAAGTTCTTCTGTGTCCCAGGCTCGATGGGTTATTGCTGCAGTTTGGGTGGGGATGTTTGTCTCAGATGATACTAAAGGTGAGCATTTCCTCAGGGACTGGAGAGAGGCAATGGTCAGAGCCAGGAATCTGTGCATACTCTATGGAGAGGCTGCCTGGCAGGGAGTGCTTCCATGTCCAGAACATTTTTTTAAAAATATATTTTATTTATTTTTTACAGAGAGGAAGGGAGAGGGATAGAGGGCCAGAAACATCGATCAGCTGCCTCTTGCACAGCCCCTACTGGGGATATGCCCTCAACCAAGGTACATGCCTTTGACGGGAATCGAACCTGGGACCCTTCAGTCCGCAGGAAGACGCTCTATCCATTGAGCCAAACCAGGTAGGGCGGGAACATTTTCTAAAGTTAACCATTCTAAATACTCAGAACTCATTCCTGTCCTCTCTCCCGGAAAGATGGCTTGTTTTTGGTTTCAGTGCTCTTTATTGGAACCTTTTTTTACAAATGTCAGACTCCAGGTGTCAACAAAGATGAAAATGGAGCCAGATTCATTAGGTGCCTTTTAAGTGTGTGTGTTTGCAAGGAAGGACCACTGCTCCCTGGGGACTCTCAGCGCTGCCTCTCAGTGCAAACGTCCCTGGACAGGAGATCTGGCTGCTTTGGGCTCAGGCCTGTGCACCTCAGGCGCTAGGGGGCGTGTGGTGCACAGTGTCTGTCATCTGAGCTGGGCGCCGGGTGGGCGGGGCTACGCTCTGCAACCACCCGGATGTTCCTTTCCCTTCAGACGCCCTGGGGTCGCATCTTCCTTGTTCTGTCCTCATCTGTCCGTCTGCGATCTGTAAGGTGGTGGGAGCTGCAGGCGGGACTCGGGAGGCCCAGGAACCAGAAATGGTGAGTGTGCGGCCGGGCGCGGGGACGGGGAGGAGGCGCGGGTGGAGCCGCCGTGGCGGGACCGTCTCTCCACGGTCAGGTCCGGAGCCCGCGGACCCGAGGCGCCGGGGGCTCCGCTGAAACTGCAGGCCCCTCGGGCTCGCAGGGTGGGGCCCAGCCGGGACCCGGGCGTCCAGTGTGTCCCCGCGGCAGGGCCTTGGGCTGCGGAGCGCGTCTGGGCAGCTCTGCACCCTCATCCCCGCGGCTCCGCAGTCGGTGCGGGGACCACGGGGAGGGTCATGGGGACAATGGTGACTCGGTCCCCGCGGTTCGTGCACGGGAGGAGCTGTGGTCTGTGGGGCCCCCTGTCCCTCCTTTCTCCCCAGAAGGACCCCGTTTTCTCCTGAGTTTTGATGTTTGTGGAGCAGGCTCTCAAGTCCACCCCCTGTCCCCCAGGCCTAGCTCTGCAGCAAATGCCTGCATTTCCAGTCTCTCCCCGGAATCCTAACCGCCATCTTCCTTCTCTGAATCACAGCATCTTATCAGCTATTTGTTTTGTGCTGCTTTCAAACGGTTAAAAACAAAATTCAACTGAATAAATTGGAAGGTCTAATTGGCTTGATTCCCATTCACGAATCTGAATGGGCAGCATCCCATCTAGGAAATAGAATCTGAGGAGCTGTTCACAATGGAAGGCGTTTACAACAGGCAGAAAGGAAGCGTCATTAAGAGGTTGAATAGTATCTCAGGCAGGGTCACCCTTCCTCAGGGGAAGGAACAGCAGGAGTCTTTAGACGGATTAGTGTTAAACAGCAACTTGCAGATTGATGGGGTTAGATTAGAATTTTAGTCCTGGGAGAGGTGAAACTGCAGTTACCTACAGTCCTGCACCCCTGAACCTGGGGAGGACATCTGGAGGCAGTTTTGTTGTTTTCAGTTCTCTTACAAACCTGCAGGGTGTAGCCTGCTACACACCTAGGCCATATGGCGTAGCCTGTGGGTCCTAGGCAACAAACCTGTGCAACATGCTACTGTACTGAATGCTGTAGGCAATTGTAATGCAATGGTAGGAAGCATTTATGAAAAGGTGCAGTAAAAATGTGGTGTGCAAGGTAGGAAATGGTACATCCGTGTGGGCACTGACCCTGAATGGGCTGCAGGACTGGAGGCTGCTCTGCGGGAGTCAGTGATCGGTGAGTGAATATGAAGGCCTAGGCTGTTAGTGTGCACGACTGTAGACTTTATCACACTGTACACTTAGACCAGGAAATTCACAAAAAAACAGATTCCTCAAGCCCAGGAGGCAATGATGCAATCAACAGGCACAGTCAACACCAGACCTGTGAGGCTGCTGCCCGCATAAAACAGCATACTGCTTCACAGGAAAGTTTTCTGTCACTAAGTAGAAAGCACACAAAGATAAAGAGGATAGTATAGAAAATGCATAAACCAGTTTCTCATCATCAAGTATTCTATGTAGTGACCGTAACTGTGTGTGCTGGACTTTCATAGGACTGGCCGCATAGGGAGCTTGTTTACACCAGCATCACTATAAACTGCATGGTCCTATGATGTTATGGTGGGTATGACATCACTAGGTGATCAGAATTTTTCAAACCCATCATAATCTTTTTTTTTTTTTAATATATTTTATTGATTTTTTTACAGAGAAGAAGGGAGAGAGATAGAGAGTTAGAAACATCGATGAGAGAGAAACATCAATCAGCTGCCTCCTGCACATCTCCTATTGGGGATGTGCCCGCAACCCAGGTACATGCCCTTGACCGGAATCGAACCTGGGACCTTTCAGTCCGCAGGCCGACGCTCTATCCACTGAGCCAAACCGGTTTCGGCCCATCATAATCTTTTTTAAAAATACTCCAAGATACCCTGACCGGTTTGGCTCAGTGGATAGAGCGTCGGCCTGCGGACTCAAGGGTCCAAGGTTCGATTCCAGTCAAGGGCATGTACCTTGGTTGCGGGCACATCCCCAGTAGGGAGTGTGCATGAAGCAGCTGAATCGATGTTTCTCTCTCATCGATATTTCTAGCTCTCTATTCCTCTCCTTCTCCCTTCCTCTCTGTAAAAAAATCAATAAAATATATTTTTTAAAAAAATACTCCAAGATATGTTTTCATTGATTTTAGGAAGAGGGGGGGGGGGGGGAAGAGAGAAATGAACATTGATGTGAGAGAAACATCAAATGGTTGCCTCTCATACCCCCCCCCCCCCCCCCCCCCCCCCCCAGAGATCAAACCTGCAACCCAGGCAATGTGCCCTGACCTGGGATCAAAACTGCAACCTTTTGTTGTATGAAATAATACTCCAACCAACTGAGCCACTCAATTGGGGCCAAATCCATTATAATCTTATGGGACCACCATCCTATATGTGGTCAGTTGTTGACCATAGGTTCATGACTGTACTGGTTTTGATGGTGTGACTTATACAAGTGATCCATTGTGGGCCTGCTGTCTCTTATTGATTGATCGATTGTATATTTTTTATTGTTGATAGTATTATAGATATCTCCCATTCCCCCCCCCCCCATACTCCCCTGCTCCCATTCCCTACCCACCCACCCACAGGTCTTCACTACCCTATTGCCTGTGTCCATGGGCTATGCATATAAGTATATTAGAGGCCTGGTGCATGAAATTCGTGCACTTGGGGGTCCCTCAGCCCAGCCTGCACCCCCTCGCCGTCCAGGAGCCCTCGGGGGATGTCCGACTGACACGAGGAGTGCACCTAAGCCAGCAGTTGGTCATCCTTAGCACTGCCACGGAGGGAGGAGACGCTCCCGCCCCTGCCGCTGTGCTCACCAGCTGTGAACCTGGCTTCTGGCTGAGCGGCACCCCCTCTGTGGGAGCACACTGACCACCAGGGGACAGCTCCTGCATTGAGTGTCTGCCCCCTGGTGGTCAGTGTGCGACATAGTTCTGCCATTCAGTTGATTTGCATATTAGCCTTTTATTTTATAGTATAGGATAAGTTCTTTGGTTTATCTCTTCTTGACCCTCCAACCCCACATTGAGGTATGTCAGTCTGTTCCATACCTCCATGCTTTGGGTGTTTTTTATTTGTCAATTCATTTTGTTCATTAGATTCCACAAATAAGTGAGATTATGTGATATTTGTCTTTCTCAGATTGGTTTATTTCACTTAGCAGGTCCATCCATGCTGTCCCATAGGGTAAGAGATCCCACTTTTAGAGAGAGAGGAAGGGAGAGAAACATGGATGTGAGAGCAGAACATCAATTGGCTGCCTCCTGCACACTCCTTATCAGGTATCAAGTGTGCAACCCAAGCATGCACCCTGACAGGCAATCAAACCAGCAACCTTTCAGTGCATGGGAAGACACTCAGCCAACTGAGCAACACTACCCATAGCCTGTTCTCTCTTTTTCTTTTTTAAAAAAAAATTTTGTTGAGAGTATTACAGATGTCCAGTTTCTTATCCCATACTGCCCGCCTCCACCCGGTTCCCCCTGCCCCAGGCCTTCACCACCCTATTGTCTGTGTCCACAGGTACGATCTTTAATTAATCTTCCCACCTCCACTCCACCCTTCTCTCTGAGATTCTTTTTTTTTTAAATATATTTTATTGATTTTTTACAGAGAGGAAGGGAAAGAGATAGAGAGTTAGAAACATCGATGAGAGAGAAACATCGATCAGCTGCCTCCTGCACATCTCCTACTGGGGATGTGCCCGCAACCCAGGTACATGCCCCTGACCGGAATCGAACCTGGGACCCTTCATTCCGCAAGCCGACGCTCTATCCACTGAGCCAAACCGGTTTCGGCCCCTCTGAGATTCTTTAGTCTATTCCAGGGGTGGGCAAACTTTTTGATTCGAGGGCCACAATGGGTTCTTAAACTGGACCGGAGGGCCGGAACAAAAGCATGGATGGAGTGTTTGTGTGAACTAATATAAATTCAAAGTAAACATCATTACATAAAAGGGTACGGTCTTTTTTTTTTTTAGTTTTATTCATTTCAAGTGGGCTGGATCCGGCCCGCGGGCCGTAGTTTGCCCACAGCTGGTCTATTCCATGCTTTCATGCATCTGGTTCTATTTTATTCATCCAGTTTACTTTGTTCATTTATTTTGATTTTTAGATTCAATTGTTGGTAGATATGTATTTATTGCCATTTCATTGTCTCCTCCTTTTCTCTCTTCTTAAAGAAGACCCTTCAACGTTTCATGTAATACTGGTTTGGCGGTGATGAGCTCCGTTAGCTTTTTCTTGCTTGTGAAGCTCTTTATCGGACCCTCACTTCTAAATGAGAGCTTTGCTGGGGAGAGTCATCTTGGTTGTAGGTCCTTACTATTCATCATTTTGAATATTTCTTGCCACTCCCTTCTGGCTGCAAAGTTTCTGTTGAGAAATCACCTGCCAGTCATATGGGTGCTACCCTGTAGGTAACTAACTGCTTTTCTCTTTCAGCTTTTAAGATTCTCTCTTTGTCTTTAGCCCTTGGCATTTTAATTATGATGTGTCTTGGTGTGAGCCTCCTTGGATTCTTCTTGTTTGGGACCCTGTGCTTCCTGGACTTGTAGGGGAAGTTTTCTGTCATTAGGTAGGGGAAGTTTTTTGTTATTCCTTCTTCAAATAGGTTTTCAATAGCTAGCTCTCTCTCTTCTCCTTCTGGCACCCCCATAATACAGATGTTGGTATGCTTGAAGTTTTCCCAGAGGCTCCTTACACTGTCTTCATATTTTTGGGTTCTTTTTTCTTTTTGCTGTCCTGTTTGGGTGTATTTCAGTTAGTGTATGCTTAATTTCTGACTGGTCATTTTTCATATCTTTGACATTCTCACTAAGATCCTTAAAAATCTCATGAAGATCCTTGAGTAACCTCATAACCATGGTTTTGAACTCTGTATCCAGTAGTTTGATTGCTTCCATTTCTTTCACTTGTGATGTTTCTTTGTCTCTACATTTTGGCTGCTTGCTTCCCTGTGTTTGTTTCTATGTACTAGGTGAAGGGGATTTATCAGGGTAGGGCAAACAGTATGCTCCAGACTGAAGGAGACTCAGATATGGCTGCCAGTCAGCCCTGCCAAAGGGGAGGTCCCAGCACAGAAACAGTGACCCCTGCCAGCACCCCGTTTGGTAGAGAGCTGCCCCCAAGTTCCTGCCCTGATGCCGGATAACCCAGTTCTTCCCCATGTGTGTCTAGGTCCCCCAGCACTGGAGCTCAGAAGAAGCAGGACCGTGTAAGTTTGTGCATGGGCCCTTTAAGAGGAACACCTGGGATTCCACCAACCTCCATGTCACTCAGCCACAATCCCCACTGGTTTTTACAGCCTTTAGTTGTGGGGACTTCTCTTCCCAGCTCTGGAACCCTGGGCTGGGGGTCTGGTGTGGGGCTGCGACCCCTTGCTCCTCACGTGCGGCCTCTGCAGAGATGATCTCCTTCCTGATTAAAACGATGGCACACGTGTGTGTCAGATCAGCTCATTCCACGCCTCCACCCCTCCTACTTGTCTCAATGTGCTTTCTTCTTTACTCTCTAGTTGTAGGACTTCCATTCAGCCAGCTTTCAGGTGGTTCTGAATGATGGCTGTTCTGTATTTTAGTTGTAATTTTGATGTGGTTGTGGGAGATGGCGAGTACCAGCATTTACCTATGCCGCCATCTTGGTTCTCCCTGTTCTCTCCTTTTTAATAAAACAGACTTAATATTTTTTTAAAAAACAATTTTTTAACGTATTTTATTGATTTTTTACAGAGAGGAAGGGAGAGGGATAGAGAGTTAGAAACATCAATGAGAGAGAAACATCGATCAGCTGCCTCCTGCACACCTCCTACTGGGGATGTGCCCGCAACCAAGGTACATGCCCTTGACCGGAATCGAACCTGGGACCTTTCAGTCCGCAGGCCAATGCTCTATCCACTGAGCCAAACTGGTTAGGGCCAGACTTAATATTTTAATTGTTTATCATTTCCCACAGTCAATGAATGGCTATGTTTAAAACGTTTATTGTATGTGTGTGGATATTTTACATGAGAACAGTAGCTGGTAACTACCTGGACCTACTTGCATAAAGTCTTTGTGCCTCTCTTTCGAGAACCTTTCCTGGGCACAGACATCCTATGGGAAGCCCTTTGAGTGGAGGTTCCTCTTGGGTAACCTTTCCACGTGTCCTGGGTCAGTGCTGCCTCACCCTGAGTTTGTCACCTTTAAACGTTTATTCATTTTATGCTAGTCTGGGGTTTATAATGAATAAAAATGTATTTCATCACTGCAACTTGAAACACAGTATAAAATGTTTTTAAATATGCTAGAGACAAGTGGCTTTAGGAGAAATAAAATATTCATTGTTACATCTCATGTATTAAAGTCTTGTTCCCTAGCCAGTTTGGTTCAGTGGGTAGAGCATGGGCCTGTGGACTGAAGAGTCTTGGTTTTGATTCTGGACCAGGGCACATACCTCGGTTGCAGGCTCAAACACTGGCCTTGGTGGGGCGCATGCAAGAGGCAAGCAATTGATAGTATTTCTCTCACTTCAATGTTTCCCTCTCCCTGTCTCTTCCTCTCCCTTCCACTCTCTCTAAAAATCAATGGAAAAATATCCTTGGGTGAGGATTAATAAAAAAGAAATAATAAAGTCTTGTTTCTCTTTTCCTTTTGAGTGTGGGTAGGAATAGTAAAAGGGCTATTCTTTTATTTTGAGTGAGTCAAATGGATTTTCAGGGCTTAGAACAGATGTATAGAAGTATGATTAATAGTTTATAAAATGCCCAGCCAGTGTAGCTTGTGACCAGGAGGTCACAGTTTGATTCCTGGTCAGGGCATATATCTGGGTTTCAGGGTCGAGCCCCAGTAGGGGGCATGCAGGAGGCAACCAGTCGATGGTTCTCTCTCATCACTGATATTTCTCTCTCTTTTTCCCTCTCCCTTCCTCTCTCTGAAATCAATACAAACATTTTTTTTATGATGAAAAATACATTTATTTTTTAATGTATACATGTACACTGATAGTCCGACAGAAAACTTTATGACTCCGTTTGATATTATCAGTGGCAAACATTTTTCAAAAATAGTTTATAAAACACAGTCTTGCCCTGGCTACTGTGACTCAGTTGGCTAAGCATTGCCCCATGCACCAAAAGTTTGGGGGTTCCATTCCCAGTTGTGGTGTTTATGGGAAGAAACTGATCAGTGTTTCTCTGTCACATTGATGTTTCTCTCTCTCCCTTCCCCTTCCTTTCTCTCTGAAAAAAATCAAAAACATTTTTAAAAATCTTGCCATCCTATATAATAAAAGGCTGATATGCAAATTGTCCCCTCGGGAATTCAACTGACCAGGAGTTTGACCGCTCACTATGACATGCACTGACCACCAGGGAGAGGTGCGGAATGAAGGAAGGCCCCGGCCAGCAGCTAGGGGAAGGAAGGCCGTAGCCATCAGATGGGGGAAGGAAGGCCCCAGCTGGCAGTGGGGGTGAGGAAGGCCCCAATCGGCCTAAATCAGCCCTGACTGCCGGCCAGGCCTAGGGACCCTACCCTGCATGAATTTCGTGCACCGGGCCTCTAGTGGAAACAGTAAACAATGAACTTTTTTTTTTTTTTTTTTTTTTTGGCAATGCAATAGATATTTGTGGATTTTCTTGTTGAGCTAGAAAAGTGTCTTACAATTTTTTTCTCTCCTTGACACATAAACACTGGTGGAGTATTTTTAAAAATATATTGTTGGTTTTTTTAAATTTATCTGCATTGTTGAAAGTATCATTGATGTCCCCCTTGTTATTTTATTATTTACTAGAGGCCTGGTACACGAAATTCGTGCACTTGCGCGGGGGGGGGGGGCTCTCAGCCCAGCCTGAGCCCTCTCGCAGTTCAGGACCCCCAGGGGGTCCTTAGCACTGCCACAGAGGTGGGAGAGGCTATGGCTGCACTCAACCAGCCGTGAGCCCAGCTTCTGGCTGAGCGGCTCTCCCCCTGTGAGAGTGCACTGACCACCAGGGGGCATCTCCTGCATTGAGTATCTGCCCCCTGGTGGTCAGTGCATGTCATAGCGACCATCTGCCCCCTGATGGTCAGTGTGTGTCATAGTGACCAGTTGTTTCACTGTTCAGTTGATTTGCATATTAGCCTTTTATTATATAGGATTTCAGAGAGAGAGGGAGAGGGAAAGAGAAAAAAACATCAATGATGAGAGAGAATCATTGATTGGCTGCCTCTTCCATGCCCCCTACTGGGGATGGAGCCCGCAACCCAGCATGTGTCCTGACCAGGAATCAAACCGTGACTTCCTGGTTCATGGGTTGACACTCAGCTACTGAGCCACACCTGCCAGGCTAAATACCGTGTTTAAATGACTTTGCTAGATCGTTGGAACACTGGCAATGTGTCATTTAAAATATCAGTGGTGGCCCAGAGCAATGTCATGGGGAGCAGAGGCCTAAGGCCAGTTACTTAAAGCTCAGGAAGGTTCCCACCCCAGGCCTCCAAAGGGAAGTAGTTGAAGGCCCCTGATTTTTTCTGGGGAGCCTCTCCCTTCAGGTGTCCTACCTGCTCAGACCCACCATGGAAGAAGCCTCTACTGTGAGAAGCTACAGCCCTGGGAAGCTGGGGAAGCAAGTGGACTTGAGGGAGGGTATGATGCCCCTTCTGAGGTTTTAGTTATGGTTCCCTGGGGCCTTTTTCTAGACAGATTGGATTTTGTATCCACAGTGTAATTGCACTGAGTGTATGTAATTTGTGTACATTGAGAAAGTCTGGGAAAGTCAGGGGTCTTTGTCTCGGGTTAGGGATTGTCACTTTGGGAGTTCATTTGGGTCAGAACCTTACACTGAATCCAGCAGTGTTTTCTCACTATGAGCTGAAGCCTGAGAGAGGGAGCAGTTTCGTTATTCCCTGGGAAGAGAAGCTCCCAGAGTTCATTCTGTGGGTTGCTCAGGTGTCCTTCCACCCCTCCCCCAGTGACTATCCCACTGTTTTCAGACAAAGTGGAAGGTCCTCTTCCCCACTGGCTGCTGCCAGGAGTTGAGTTCTTATGATATCTCAAGAAAAATAACTTTCTGAGACTCATGGGGAGAACAAGTGATTTTTTTTTATTTTATTGATTTTTTACAGAGAGGAAGGGAAAGAGATAGAGAGTTAGAAACATCCATGAGAGAGAAACATCCATCAGCTACCTCCTGCACACCCCCTACTGGGGATGCGCCCGCAACCAAGGTACATGCCCTTGACCGGAATCGAACCTGGGACTCTTCAGTCCACAGGCCAACGCTCTAGCCACTGAGCCAAACTGGTCAGGGCTCTATCTGGGTTTCTAAAGTCCCATCTCCCTTAATCCAGTCATAGAAGAAGTGTAGCTTGGGTTTCAGTAAAGCTAGAAGCAAAGCCACTATCCAGAGTTTCCATTCCATGTTGCAGCTGGATCCAGTACAGCATTAGGCTAGCTGCAGTCCACTAGTCCATTGTGGGTGAGGGTCCACATGGCTGTGGGCCACATAGGAGAATGCCAGAGAGCACGCTCCAAGCAACAGGAGCCCCAGGGGTCCTGAAGTTACAAGAGAGGGAATTTCTCTGTTCAGGGATGTTCAGGGGATTAAATATCCCAAATCTTCATGTGCTTGCAGTGGCCATGCCCATTCTGGCCAATGACCTTTGTTCCCAGGTAAGACTGACAGACAAGTACCTTTCCTATTTCACCCCAACTTTACTGGGTATGCATCTATCTTCCCTTTGTCCAGTCCCCTTTCCTCAGGATATGCCTATAATGCCTGGCCTTCCCTTCGTATTATTAATAACAATGGTTATTACAACAGTATCATTCCCCCCCCCCCAACCCTCCCACCCCCGAGAGAAAAGGAACCTCTTTGTAATCTTACAAAGCAAAAATGGACTAAGGTCTCCATCTCTTGTAACTGCATACTGCTGTGAAGGGACATAGTCCTGCCTATCCCAAGGCTCAAAGGTTCTCCCTGTCTGACCAGGAAGGAAGTAGCTAAAGAGACAGCGAATCTTCATGTAGGGATTCTGTAAAGTCCAGGTCATTCTGGTGTCCCTGGGAGGTGACATAGGCAATGTCTAGGAGGGTGGTTCATTGGACAAGCTGGCATTCTTGTTCTGTTCTAGAAATGACAGACTTGACAAGAAGGTTAACAGGCACAATTCAAAAGTGAGGAGACTAAAACATCTAGTGACAGGTAAGAGCCCGTGTGGTAAAGGGAAAGATTAACTTACAGTGTCCCCAGTTAGGTTGGGGGAATAACTTCTTCCCTGGAGGCAGGTGTGTCGCACCTGTCGGAAACTTTTGTCCATCATACATAACACATTGCGGACGGATCCTGAGAATTCTCGTGTTTCTGTTCTAAGGCTTGAGGCCAATCACGAGAACTCTTTAAAAAGATATTAGCTTGTAAGAATATGTAATAAATAACTTAAAAATGCAATGGGTATTTAATTTTAAAGCGTGCCTTTAACATTTATGTAAAACATTTTTTGTACTCGTTCAATATAAACTTACCTGGCCACTGGGTAAAGCTAGCAATAAAACTACTGGTCCGCAATGAGTTAACTCACATTAAGCTAAGGGAAATCTTCTAAGATTTACCTAGTGAGAAACTATGAGCCTTTTCTGTCTGAACCCTTTGGACAGAAAAGGGAACGTAGTTTCTAGTGAAGCCGATAGACTGTCCATACTTCATTGACTCAGCTATGAGTCCAAACCATTGACTCTTATTTTCAGGACGCAGTGATTCAGATGGCTTCTAAGAGAGGCCTATATTGTGTGAGCAAGTAATCAGGTAAATAAGGACATGGGCATACATTCTATGAAAATAGAAGAACACAAAACACAGCGTTAATGCATACAGCAAATCTAAACTAAGTGAAAAGATTTCCAGATACAAGGCTTCTGCTGGGATTAAATCACACCATGACAGTCTGATAGACTGTCTGAAGGTAAAACATCTCTGGTGATGTCATCAGGGCTGAGGCCTGTATGGCAGTGGTCGGCAAACCGCAGCTCACAAGCCACATGCGGCTCTTTGGCCCCTTGAGTGTGGCTCTTCCACAAAATACCACGTGCGGGCGCGCACGTACAGTGTGATTGAAACTTCGTGGCCCATGTGCAGAAGTCGGTTTTCGGCCTGGGCAACTCTATTTTGAAAAAGTGGTGTTAGAAGTAGTGAGGGTTATCGGACGGTCAGGCGAGGGGAGACGGTCAGGCGAGGGGAGACGTGGCGCAGGCGGGGGAGGCGCGCATGATTCATGCACGAGTTGAGTGAGCCAGTCAGTCAGCAGTCTCATTGTGCAGTGGTTAGTGCTAGTCGCATCCACAAATCGTGCGCAGGTGACAAAAGTACCTACTCGAGCCGTAACCGGTTTGGCTCAGTGGATAGAGCGTCGGCCTGAGGACTGAAGGGTCTCAGGTTCGATTCTGGTCAAGGGCATGTACCTTGGTTGCGGGCACATCCCCAGTGGGGGGTGTGCAGGAGGCAGCTAATCAATGTTTCCCTCTCATTGATGTTTCTAACTCTATCTCTCTCCCTTCCTCTCTATAAAACATCAATAATATATATATATATATATATATATAATATATAATATATATATATATTTTAAAAAAAAAAGTACCTACTCAAAGCAGTTACCTGTATTTTTCCAACCGGCTGCAAATCCTACAGGTATTTTTGTCATCAATTTAAGAATTGTAATTATTTTGTGTTGGTGACTTTATTATTATTTTAGCAAAGGCCAGCTTAGGAGTACCCTAATTAAGTTAATAACAATGTACCTACCTATATAGTTTAAGTTTAAAAAATTCGGCTCTCAAAAGAAATTTCAATCGTTGTACTGTTGATATTTGCTCTGTTGACTAATGAGTTTGCCGACCACTGATGTATGGCATACGCAAACATAGCCTTAAAAACAATACTTTGAAGACAGTTCATTGCATTGGAGTCCAATATTCCCAATTGTGATGTCCACTGAAACACAATTTTTCTCCCTAAGATTACTCTCATTTTCAAAGAGATTGCATTAAGTCCCGTTTTAGTTTGGCCTGATTGTTTGAATAAGCACAACAAGAATAGCAACTGATCAAATCAATAACATGGGCTCTTTCAAATTTGCTTTGCTTGATTTTTCACAAGGAATCTTTAAATCAGCGGTTCTCAACCTGTGGGTCGTGACCCCTTTGGTGGTCAAACGACCCTTTCACAGGGGTCACCTAAGACCATCCTGCGTATCAGATATTTACATTACGATTCATAACAGTAGCAACATTACAGTTATGAAGTAGCAACGAAAATAATTTTATGGTTGGGTCACAACATGAGGAACTGTATTTAAAGGGCCAGAAGGTTGAGAACCACTGCTTTAAATTGACCTTTAGTGAGCAGTCAGCCCCTCAGGAGGAGAAGTCAAGCCACAGTTGGCATTAGGCTGAGCCTGAAATACCTGTAGGTTTGGGTCAAGTCCTCAAGTCCTTGATGTCCACGAAGGTGTCTTGAGGTTCCTTCCCTGCCATCTTTCAGGAAAATAACCTTCATACTTTACCTGGAAAGACTGTGATGAACCACATGACCAAGCAAGGTATTAGGCCATTTCTCCATGTGACTTTTGATTGACCGATCAGCTTCAAGAGTCAGTCTCAATTCCTTAAGGCTTTCTGGTGACATCCAGAATCCAGGCATGTCTCTCTTGGACATGGCATTCCAAAGTCTTGGTTAATAGGGCCACATAGTTTGGAACTGGTCTTATTGGATTAATGCGAAGAAATGTACTGCCATGACTCACTCATTAAGAATTGCCAAAATCTGGAGGGATCAGGTAGGGAGGAAAAAAGGTAAAAGTAAGCAATTAGCATTCCCTAAATTGGCAAACACATTTTAGCCTGGCCAGCATGGCTCAGTGGTTGAGTGTCAGCCTATGAACCAGGAGGTCCTGTTTCAATTCCTGGTCAGGGCATATGCCCATTTGCAGGCTCAATGCCCAGTGCAGGAGGCAGCCAATCAATGATTCTATCTCATCATTGATGTTTCTATCTCTCCCTCCCCTTTCCTCTCTAAAATCAATACAAATATATATTAAAATACAAATAAATAAATAAATAAATATATTTTTTTAAAAAGATGAGTTTTCTCACAGGAATTGAGGTACTTAATATAGGAATATTATGTTATTTCAATTTTTTCAAAGTGATCTTTACTCTGACAGTAGAGAGTAATGAAGACTTTAAGTGATCACAATAAAATATCAATAAATTCCATGTGTTCATGAGGAATTGAGTGTGGCTAATAAATAATAGTCTGACAAGCAAGTCATAGAATGAATGTTGGGGACATCGTGTCCTATGTGAACTTCTTATGAACTATGTATAGATCCCTAGTGCTGTCTAACTCACCCATATACATATGTGGGATGTTTTAGGACTCAGTGGCCTTTGAGGATGTTAATGTGGAGTTCACCATGGAGGAGTGGGCTTTCCTGGATCCGACCCAGAAGAAACTCTACACAGATGTGATGCTGGAAACCTTCTGGAACCTGGCATCAGTAGGTAGTGATGACAACTTCTTATTTATTTAGTCAATTAGAAAATTATGTTGCTTGCTCATCAGTGCTGCTTTAGGAACTGAAATGTGGAAAGGGAATACATTAATAATTAAACTAGGCATGATCACAGCTCATCATGAACCTAAAGTCTAACCATTTTTTATACTAGTATTTTTAATAATTTATGATGCTTTTTTTTCTAGCATGTATTTTAGAAGAAAAATGTGAAGATCATGACAGTGAAGATCAGTATGAACATCATGAAATGAATCTTAGGTGAGTCACACTGACATGAGAAAGCAATGTTCCACAAGATAATCTTAATATATGATCAAATATTCCCAGTCAAGGGCAGATACCTGGGTTGCAGGTTCAATCCCTGGCCCTAGTCAGGGTATTTGCGGGAGGCAACCATCGATGGCTCTCTCTCACATCTATCTTTCCTCTCTCTCTTCCTCCTTTCCTCCCTCTTCCTCCCTACCTTCCACTCTCTCTAAAAATGAATGGGGAAAAAAATCCTTTGGTGAGGAATAATAATAATAATAATAATAATAAATAATAATAATAGATACACATGGGCCCTTGTGGGGTGGCTCAGTTGATTGTAGCATCATCCAGTATACCAAAAGGTTGCAGGTTTGATTCCCATTCAGGGCACATACCTAGGTTGCAGGTTTGATCCCTGGTAGGGGCACATACAGGAGGCAACCAATTGATGTTTCTTTCTCACATTGATCTCTCTCTCTCTCTCTCTCTCTCTCTCTCTCTCTCTCTCATCTCAATAAACATATATTCTTTCGGGTAAGGATTTTTTAAAAAGTACATTAGGAACACTATTCAAAACATCATTAATGACTATGACTATTTTCATAATATCTATGATTGAGTCCACCTTCAAGGCTTTTAGTATATCCACGCTCAAACAACCTGAATGTGCAGAAACCCCATACTTTCCTTAAAAATGGTAAAAATGTCACTGTCATACTAGTAATAAATATAACATCATTGATAAGCAAAGTATTAATAACATGCTTTTGGTTTTTACGGCAGTCATTTGGTGGAGAGCCTCTGTAAATGGAAGGATGGGAGTCAATTCAGAGAAACCTTCAGACAGATTCCACATGATAATGAAAGGAAGAAAACTCCTACTGAAATACAAGTACCCACGTCCAGGTTGTGTAGACAAGTCTTCATGCATTATTTATCCTTTAATAACCTCGTGAGCTCTGACACTGGACCCCAACTATACCAGTGTGAGGAATATGAAGAGAAGCCTTATAAATGTAAGGAATGTGGGAAAGCTTTCAAGCATCTCCGATATATTAATGTACATGAAAAGAAACACAGTAGAGAAAGGCCCTATGAATGTACAAAATGTGGTAAAACCTACAGGTATTTAAGTAACTTATGTCGACATGCAAGAACTCATACTCAGGAGAAATTCTATGAGTGTAAGAAGTGTGGGAAAGCCTGGAGTTCTCTCCTCATATTTCAAAGACACATGATCAAGCACACTAGAGATGGACCTTTTAAATGTAAGGAGTGTGGGAAAGAATTCCGATGTCCAAGAAACTTTCGACATCATGAAATGATACACAATGGAGAAAGGCCCTATGAATGTAAGGAATGTGATAAAGCCTTCAGTTCTCTCAAATATCTTAAAAATCACACAAGGACTCATGATGGAAAGAAGCCTTATGAATGTAAGGAATGTGGTAAAGCTTTCCGTTACCCCACTTCCCTTAGAAATCATGAAATAGCTCATACTGGGGAGAAACCCTATGAGTGTAAGCAATGTGGGAAAGCCTTCAGTCGTCTCAGTTACTTTCAAGTTCATGAAAAAACTCATAGTGAAGAGAAACCATTTGAGTGTAAACAATGTGGCAAAGCTTTCCGTTCTCTCAAGTCCTCTCGAGTACACGAAAGAACACACAGTGGAGAAAAACCCTACGAATGTACAGAATGTGGTAAAATCTTCGGTTACTCAAGTAGTTTACATAAACATTTGAAAACACACTCTAGAGATAAACCCTGTTAATGTAAAGAATGTGTGAGAGCCTTATTTATCTTTCAGCTGTGCAATCACATAGGATGCTCCAGATTGGGGATGGGCCCTAGAAATGTCAGGAGTGTTAGAAAGCATTCATTTCTTCCAGTGTATTCTAAAGGATGAAAGAACTCACACTGAAGAGAGGCCTTGTCAGTATAAACATTGTAGAAAAGCCTTGGGTTGCCCTAGTTCTTTACAAAATCATACCCAAGAATAAGTGTATGAATATAAGGAGTGTGGGAGAGCCTTTCTTGGACATGTAAGAACGTACATGGAGAGAGCATATAAATATAGAGAATGTGCAAAAGCCTTCAGCTGTCCCTTTTTCTTGGAAAGACCATGAAAAAAAATTCAAAGCGGAGACAATTCTATTGAATGTAAACGATGTAGGAAAACCTTCATTTAGCCTCATATCCCCACAATGCCATGTGAGTATGTACACTGAATAGGTATTGTATAATGCTAGTGAAGACAAACTTTTAACAAATACTTTCAGAGGAGCTTGTAAACTGCACTGGAAGGCAATCATATTGCTGTAACTAGTACATGTAAACCCAGTGCAAATTAATTCCTATACTTCCAAAAATTCACAACATGAAAGAAATGCTATAAGCATTTAGACATTTATGGTCATTAACACTGACTTATTCTTAAAGTGATTCTCTGTAGTACAGAATTCTACTTTTGCAAGTAGAGGTTATATAATTCTGTAGAGACTTTAAGCCAGAGTTTGTAAGTTTAACAGGTGTTTTTTTTTCCTTTTAGTCCGATAATAAACAATTATTACATCCATGGGTGAATGGAAGTGGTTTACTAATATGCAAGTAGGTTTAACTTTTATATAATTTTTGTAATTGTTCTGTAAGGAAAGGTACATTGAAAAATGGTACTTGGGTACTTGTTCTTTTTTTCCTACTGGCCTCCTGTGACAAGTATTGAATGAATATGCTTCACCCATATATATAATCTATTTTGACAGAAAAGTGCCTTTTCATTGGCTTGAAGAGCCTTACTCCATTTTCCTGTAAATACATGTTTTTTAGTTTTTCAATTACAGTTGACATTCAGTATTATTTGTCAATAAATATTTGCAATATATTTGTACATATGCGAAGTTCATTGTAGAGTCCCATGTGAATTTTTTTCATCTATATCCTTTGCTTGTTATCATTGCTTTTGGCTGGGTTTGAACTATGATGATTGCATTAAGAAGAGAATACCTGTGATAGGACAATAAGATCTAGAGTCAGAGATGATCCTTCCTGACTCTGTTAGGTCAACGTGAGGAATGTTGTGCACTGTATTTTCCACAATCTGGTGCCTTAATGGTTCCGGTTCCGTGTTAGAAATCACTAAGGCCTCACTTCCATGAAACTTGAATGCAGAAATGAAATAGGATTAGATTGGTTTTGAATCCACTTGTATAAAGGAGATGGCCAGAAGCATAGAGCTTTTGTGTACATTTGCTTTGAGTTTGTTCCCTCAATCTTTGCCCAGCCAGCCAAGAATATTCTCAAAACCACCAGCAGCTGTGTCACTTCCCTTGATGTCAGGTGTAAGCTTACAGATGTTCACAATTCAACATTAAAGACCCAGCATAAGTTGGCTTTTCCTGCAAGCCCATAGGTGTCCACCAGGCAACAAACATAGACGGTCATGGTTGAGGCTGTTTTCTGAAGGGTGTGCACTGTTCTCTAGATTGTATTTGCACGAGGTCTAATTTGACCAGTAATCATCTTGTCCTGTTGGTTCTACTACTGACTGTGATTCAGATCCCACTGTGACAGCTGCAATGGTGCAGTGCCATGGAGCCCCGTGACAGTTTGTTCTTGTACCACCCTCTGCAGTGAGGGCTCTGAGCCAGTCCTTCCATGTGAGAATCGGCACTTTCCCCATTGCAGGCAGACTCTGATGTGTGCTGTCACTCAGAGCTGAGCCTAATCTCTCAATGTTTTCAGTTATCTTGGGTTTTATGTGATTAAAATTATGTGCATTTTCTCTCTCTAATCAATGCTTCTGTACTTTTTAAAGAAATATGAACTGTTTGCCAAGCACTCTTATGCTAAGAACTATTATTGTTTTTATTTCCTGAGGATATATTTAAGATTCCAATGTAATTATGTAATTTCAGATCAACCTGTAATTTTTCCCATTTAATCATTATACATTCTGAATCACAATTATCATGTGTGTACAAATTCAGACATGTTTTCCTGAGCCAAATTACATTTTTAATTTGTTTACTTATAGTTTTTGACATGAACTTCTTTCTTATTCATACAATTAAAAACTTCAGTCATTTTTTTTTTAGTCCTCTCCAGTGAAAGTCCAAGAAAATCACATGTAGTAAGAGACATGTAATGGAATGAATTCAAATAATAAGAATGACCACAAACCATAAATGATTGAAGGGTGTAAGAGTAACAGCATATTTAAAAGGATTTCTTTTTTATTTAATCCTATATAATAAAGAGTCTGCCCCTTGAGTGTGTCTCTTATGGATGTGAAGAGTTGTAATCCAGTATGGTCTCACTCTGACCACTGGGTACACTGGCTCTTGGATCTCCAAGGAGGTGCAAGGTCAGCCACTGTCTGGGGCCACCACAGAGACATCTGCAGATTCCTCCTCTTTGTATGGGGTTTGGAAGTGCCCAGACGAGGCCCAGCAGTGAAGCAAGGCCAGCAGGGCCTTGGGCTTCTTTTGGAAGCTCTCTGACCCAGCTGCAGTTTGACAGGTTGTAGGCAAAAGGACAGGCCATTCATATGCAAAAGCTGATGTCCACAGCTTGGGTGGGGTTGTAAATTAGGTGGGGCGGGATCTCTGGGAATCACTAGGGTGGAGCAAACAGCAATGGCTACGAGCCTTGAACTGGAGAAGTCCCTGGTTCTCTGCATCCCGTGCCCCGGTGATCGCTGCAAACCCCTCTAAGAGAAAGCCGCCCTCACGTTCCTGTCCCGATGCCAGACAGTCCAGGTTCTCCCCGTATGTGCCTGGGTCCCCCAGAGTCTCGCCCGGAACTGGAGTTCAGAGCAAGCAGGAGCTTGTATCTCCATCCCAATTAAAAGAGCAGCGCATCCAGGTGCCAGCCCTTTCCACGCCTCCGCACCTCCTACCAGTCTCAGTGCGCCTTGTTCACCTCTCTAGTTGTGGAACTTCCACTCAGCCAGCTTTCCAGTGGTTCTGGGTGGTAGTTGTTCTGCCGTTTAGTTATGGTATTGATGTGGTTATGAAAGGCAGCAAGTACAGGCACTTACCTATGCCGCCATCTTGGTTCTCTCTAAACATTTTTCTTTTTTTTTTTTAATAAATATTTTATTGATTTTTTACAGAGAGGAAGGGTGAAGGATAGAGAGCTAGGAACATTGATGAGAGAGAAACATCGATCAGCTGCCTCCTGCACACCCCCTACTGGGGATGTGCCAGCAACCAAGGTACATGCCCTTGACCAGAATCGAACCTGGTACCTTTCAGTCTACAGACTCTATCCACTGAGCCAAACCGGTTAGGGCTCTAAACATTTTTCTTGATATATAATTCAGACACTATAACATTCACCCTTAATAATTCAGTGGCTTCAGTACATTCAGAGTTACATAACCATGACCATAATCAATTTCAGAACATTTTCATCAATTTCAAAAAACACATCCCCATCAGCAATCACTCCCCAGGTCCTCCCAACTGCCCCATTCTTCCCCCATCATCATTGATGTTTCTCTCTCCCTCTCTGAAATCAATAAAAATATTGAAAAGAAAGGGAAAAAGAGAAAAGAAAAGAAAGAGTTCTGGTCATCTGCATAGTTGTACCCATCATGGGTTTTCTGTGAGTAGAGTGATTCCTGTGCAAGTCCAAGGTGAGTTCCTGGTTAACATGGCAGAAAGCTATCGCTGTTTACGATGATCTAAGGAAAAAATGAGGTGAACTGCAGACACAGTATCAGCAAAGCAAGTAGATTTGATATCGTCAAACTGGGAAATTTTCTGTGCCTTTGATAAGAGGAGTAGCTGGAGGTTTTTTGTTTCAGCAGAAGGCACCAAGCTGTCCAGGGTCATGTTTGCTGTTTGCAGGGGTCATTTCCATGTTTATACTTCCAGGGGATGTTATGAAACATGGGGGGAAAGGTGATGCTTTTATTTCATTGAAGAGGGAAGGAAATCCAGACTTGGCCCCTTTTCTTTGTTTCAGTGCTAATTTATGTTTTCTTAGCGTGTAGAGCTCAAATGATTTTATAGTTATTGCTATCTCCTATGATCCCTTGTTCCCATCATTCCTCCCACTGTACAGATGAAGAAAGTTAAGCAGAAATCTTGTCCAAATTTACATATAATAGTGCAATCTCTCCATTTTAAAGTTATAATGTGTGCTCCTCTACTGTGCAATGTCAAAAATGTGAACTTCAGAAGAATGCCACCAGGCTTGTAAATTTTGTACCTTTACAAATGTGGTGTCAAAGTTTCTGAACAGGACTTAAAAGGCAACACTTCTTTGATATTCTGGAAAAGGTAAGGATCTAGGTGAAAGGGTTAATCAAGAAACAGGGCTAACTTAGCAGCTCGTTCTGCAATCCTAAGCCTGGCACAAACATGCTCCCTTTGAGTGGTTATTTTACATAAATTCCTGAAGACCATAATTCTTGTACAGCCCCCCAGAGGAAGGACGTCTGGCACCAGCGGAAGGACAAAGGGCAAGGCCGTAAAACTATGGTCCTGATACGTGTGTCAAGCTGAAGCCCCGTCTGTAGTTCTCCCTGGGCACATAAAAAGCCTGCTCCCTCCCCATTCACCACTGGTTTATTTTTCGGAATCAGTCCACCTGCATCCAGGTGCCTTGAATAAATATCATATTGATTACACTGAGTCTTGAGTCTGTTCTGTGTAACCCGGCCCTACCCCGAACCTTTCACTTGGAACCTCAAACAGACCTGGGTTTAAAGGTGGTGACGCATGGTGGTCCTTCCTTTGGAAAACTGCTGTTTGAACTACTCTGTTATTT